GTGTGTGTGTGTGTGTGTGTGTGTGTGTGTGTGTGTGTGTGTGTGTGTGTGTGTGTTTAAATGGAAATATCTCCAGGGCAACAAGCAAAGATGGAGCAGCTTTCAGTAACTGCAGCAAATGAAGCTGAGTTTGTCCTGCCTAAAACTGGCAGGCCACAGTGAAATTTAGAAAATGTTGCACATCAACTAAATGCTAGAAATTTAATCTTTTCCTTGTGCGCTGCTGTGCCTCAACCCTTCTGTGTGATTCTCTGCCAAGATGCAAACCAAATGAGGAATGCTTGATGCCTGTGATTCCAAGGAGCCACTGACAAGAATTACACAGCGAGGAAATTACTCACTCTTATACTGTATCGTTGGTTGTGTCTCTCCCAGACACAGGAAAACGACCCATCTGGAAAATGGTGCAAAATTTGTTGCATCTTGGTATTTCAGATCTTTTCATGGTGACAGAAAGGTGTAAATGGTTACTCGTGTTTCACTGTTAGCTGATTTTGGATTTATTGGATAAAATCTAAGATTTTAAGCCCTCGTCTGGATTACAATGGCAAAAAAATATTTTTGGCATCTTTCAGCTTTTCTGTCACGATCCACAGGTAGCCTGGTGAACGCTCAGAGATTAAGATTTAGATCTGTCCTCAGCTGTTAGTTGGGGTTGCCCAACTAACAGGGGGCTGAGTTATGATGGAGCTACTTAGCAGGTCATTAAATAATTAAACCAAAAAACTACAAAAAAACCTTTGTTTTCTGTAGTTATGGTGTTAAATAGAAGAATATTGTGGATTGCTTTTTTAAAATTAACATCTTTCCCTTTGTGTTACAGGTGCACTTGGGCTCTGTAGAGCTCCAACCAGCTCCAGACCCTCAGAAACTRACCCACGAGATGATTTGGCAGTCCCTGCAGCGCAACAAAGACCTGGAGAGAGAAAATTCCAGGTTGTCAGAGGAGAACCGTAGATTAAAACAGAATCACCAGCAAATCCATGCAAAGTAAGGATATCTAAATGTTTAGCAGAAGCTGTTTTTGAAGTTTTCTTGTCAGCTGTTTTAACTAGAGATAAACCAATACCACTTTTTTTTTTTTTCAAAATAAGAACTTGATTTTGGTTTTGGTAMTAAACTAAGGTTTCCGTAGTTTACACACCTACAAAAACTATTGATACTGTATATTTGAGATTGATTTAGGTCCAAGCTTGTCATTTAAGCTTAAAATCAAAGTCAAATATTGTGTTTTGTTGTATGAATAATCGGTACTTCTCTTTGTTAGAAATGCCCTTTTTATGTTCTTGCAAACATGATTGTTGTTTACTGTGTTAATAAATGGATTCCTGTCATATGTGATGAACAAGTGTTGCACCAGTTTAAGTCTTAATCAATTGTTTATTTATTTATTTATTTATTTATTTATTTATTGTTAAAAGAAAGCAGAGAAGGACCCGTTTTGCTTTCAAATTACGTTTTTACCTGCTTCTTTGTTCGCACATGTAACTGTGTTTTTCCCCAACAGGCTGGAGCATCAGGTTCAGGAAAAGGAGATGTTTGAGAAGAGGCTGTACTCACGTTTTGTCATGGTGYTGAATGAGAAGAAGGCTAAGATCAGAGGCCTGCAGGATGCGGTCCATCAGCTCCAACACACTGACAACCAACAAGGAGACAAGGAGAAAGTGCAAAGGTCTGCCGGCTTATTGGGAACAGTTTCTATAAATATGCATTACTGAACTCTGTGGTGTAATTAGTTAGATCTTCTGTGTCCAATCCGGGTCCTCRAGGACCATTAACCAGCATGGTTTAGAGGTTTCTCTGCTCTAACACACTTGATTTGAATGCGTGGATGATTAACAGTCTTATGTCTACATAAGACTGTTAATTACTTGAAGAGGTAATTTAATCACAGAATCAGGTGTGTTGGAGCAGGGAAATGAGTAAAACATGCAGGGCCAGGATTGGACACCCTTACATAAACAATCTATTTAGAAATGGAGAGTTTCAGAATGCAAAATCATCTTTAAAAAAGAAAAAGAAAGCAAAAAACATAATTATTTAGTCCTTTTCTAGAATCTGTCTGTCAGCAGACTGTCTGAGTTTGTCTTAGCATTCATTAAGTGACTCAAAATGTTGCGTTTGCTTCAAGGTAGGACTGAAATCAGCCAAAACGTTTCTCATCCTACTGCTAAACGTCCGCCATTTTCACCTTGAAACATTTGTCATAATTAAWTACTTGAAATAAACCTTCTAATAAATGACTTGTTGCTGCACCACCTGTCTGTGTAAATCAAGTAAATAATTGTCAAAACCTTCAACTGAACTCCTTTTGTTTTAAAGTGTCTTGAACTTAATTTTGTGTGTTTAACTCAGTGAACTGAGTTTACTCATTTTTTTAAAGTAAAATTTAGTATAAATCAACCAAAAATCACCTTTGGAGCATTTTTGTACTTCTGTGGTCTGATTGGTTTGACAGTTTTGTATGAAGCACGTTTTAATTCATGCACATTATATTGTTCAAGTTCTTAACTGAGGCAGCTGAGTATTGCAAGTAAGTTTGATGGAAAATTTCCATTATTATTTATTATTATTATTATTWTAAGTTTATTTTATTAACTTTTTTCAAGCATATTAGATAAAAAAGATTAGTAGTTTTGATAGTTTTGTCTATCTCCTTTTCATGCAAATGTATGTAAATAAAACACTGTTGTATTTGTGTGATTTTTCTGAGGGATAATGACACAACAAAGGGTGAGGACAGCAGCCAGAACAAAGAACAGAGCATTCATCATGTCCGTCCGTCTCAGGAGCCAACCATCCTCATCACAGGTCTGTCAGTGTTTCCGTCTGCACGTACAYATGTTTTAACTCTTTAGAAGACAAACTTTCCCCAAAAGTGAAAATAAACTCCCCAAAATGTGCATCTTATCTTAAGTGAGCAAGTGACATAAACATGTCATAGATTTAGTCAYGAGGGAATCACTGACTGCGAAATTTTACTGCCCAGTAAACTGAACCATTAAATGTAATCAGATATCTATGCAGGGGTATTTTTTAGTGTGAAAATAAAAGCAGACATTATTCCCTCAGGTAGSTCAGTTCTGGGAAACACGTGTGACTAAGTCTGCAGTGATTGCTTCAACACAAGACAGCTGTGAGGTGGTCTCCTTCCTGCATCACACAGAGCCGGAGTGATGTCATCGCTCCACCCGATCGGCAGCTCTGGTAGTCAGCTGCTGGGATAACTTGCAGATTACTCTCGCAAAGCCAAAATCACTCGGAGAATGTTACAAGATGCTTTTTTTCTTCGCTTTGGTTTGGGGGGATAAATGTGGTTGCAGCTTGTCAATGAGATCTACCAATATTTAGCTTTTTTTAGGCTCTTTGTTGACAAAAAAAAAAAAAAGAAAAACAAACGTAGTCTTTGAGCATCTCTTTTTTAGTATCGTGGAAATAAGCCATATATTCATGTCAGTCACTACTTATATTCAAATGTATGCCTGAAGGAATCATATTTATGTAGCCTTACCAAACAGATAGTGATGTTCACAATCATTTATGAACATAAAAGTAAAAMTCAAATTTAACACTTCACTAAAATCTACAGTCGTGGCAAAGCTTGATCCGGATCAGACACACAACTCTGATGTTTTAGTTTGCAGCAATTTTTTTTCCCTTTGACACGCTTGACCCCTGCTGACCTTTGAGCCCCAGGCTGTGTTTTCATGCTAAGCAGAGCTGGGGGGCTCTCTCTTTGACCTGCTCTCTTTAGGTTTAGCTTCTGATAGTGACAACACAGGAAGCATCACTCACAGTGGGGTGGGTAGAGGGAAGACAAGACAGATACAGAGAGAGGAGGAGTAAAAGCGGACGTGAAAGAGACCAACTTCAGGGATGAACATTTAAGAACGAAAAGTAAAGATTGTTCTTTCAATGTTCTTTAAATGGGCTGTCTGCGGTATCTTTTTTTTAAATGAAGTTTTATCTCAATCTGTTCAGAACAAGTGCTGCTTTGTTCTTGCATAACGTCTCAATCTGGCCATTTTTGAATGTGGATAGGCTAGTGGCAGTGTTATAGGGCAAACAGGTGTGTTTGCCTCTTTGTATAACCAATTGCGGCCTGTGTGGAATGCCAGATCTCTATACCCGATAAAGGCTGTGAAGTTGTCCTGGGTTAACAAAGGTCATCTCAGATAAGATGTCCTAAACTTATTATAAATGTGCCAAACATGACAGTGAAGGACAACCAGTCGAAGGTACCCTGCTACAATTTAAAGTCTGACTCCCTTGTGAGCTTTATAAGTGATTTTAAACGTGAGTTCTCTTTGCTTTATGAAGGTCTTTTTAAGATTTTACTTTGATCACTAAATCCCCCCCTCCCACTCTTTTAGTTAAGCTGCCCAGTGCTGACCTGTGACTCATTCAAACATAAAATGGCACCTAAAACATGAAATGAGCCAGTGTCAAAAAAAAGTAAATTTAGCTTTTATGTTTAGCCACTTTGTTATTGGTATCCTATCATAACAAACCACACACTTTGTTCCAGTTTTTAAACATAAAGTGTCTGTGATAAATAAGGTAACAAATTGTGTCCTTGTCACAGACCAACAAAAAGTAATTAGATTTTTTTAAATAAACTTTTGTTGGGTTTTGGTTTGACAATCTCAACCCAACAGGGGTTCAGTGTTAATTGCAGTATGACAGACATTTTTTATAAAGAAATATGTAATGTAGTAACTAAAAATTTATAACATTCACTTTAGGATTATTTTGTATTAACTTTCTGAGAATACATACATAAACATAATACTTTAATACTGCAAAGAATATATAAAAAAATTCTTTCTAAGGTCTGTAATTTCTGTAGTTTTTCTCAGCTTGGTGTTTCTCTGAGGGTACACGCCAACTTATTTTATTGAATCCAGGTTGTAATTTGGTGTCCCATGGCATCTCCATCGCTCAAACTTTCTCTGATCATGAAGACGAAGAGCCGAGACAGAAGAGCCGCCGACTTCACACCCTGAGCCCAGACTCCTCTGGACAGGAATGAGTCTCAAGGTTAGTCATATAAATCCTAAACGCAGCTGGTAAATCTCCAATTGCTAACTATTTTTCAGTCGCAAAAGGGAAAGGTTAGGAGAAAATTTGGCATTTTTAATTTTCAAGTTGCTCATTTTGAAAGTGTATCAACACAGTAAATAAACAACCTTTTCTCTTTTGATTAGAGAATAAAAAAATGGTCTCAAATTAGAGTTTACCCCAAAATTTTGGAGAGTAAATTAAACATTTTTACCATTTCTTACCCAAAAATAATGTGTTACCAAACATGGAACCTTGCCAAAATATTTTATCCCAGTTATCCATAGATCATCTCAGCTTTGGTACATTTGTAAATTTATGTACTTGTTTTCTTTACTCACTTTATAACTGCAGAGAAAAAGCTGCACCCCTCCCTTCACTGCTAGGCAATAACCATAGGTGTGGTGCCCTTCTGACCTAAAAAAATGAGCTATATGCCAAGGGAATGGGACTTTTAAAAGTCAAAAATGTTAAATGTTTTGCATTTGGCATTTGAAACATTTTATTTTCAGTTTAAAGTCAAGGTTTATTGTTTTTAATAATAAAATCAGTTTTCTGTGATCATTGTCATACAACTCTGTTGACTGGATAGTTTAGTAATATAACCACTACTGTTTGGTGAGCAGTAGCTGTATTTAGGTGCTGATAGCTAAATAAATGACAAAAGTAGTAGTAGTATGTGGTTAGACTCTTTAGCCAAGCAATAGGTTTTAAACTCCAATCATAATTATACTTTCACACTACCAGTTTTTAAAACATTTTGCTTCTTCTTGTGATAAATTACACTTGTCGCTGCGATATATTGTGCAAAAAAATAGTTAATTCTAACTGCAAGTGAAGTTTACAGCTGTTTAACACAACAAAAGCAGGGTGAGTCAATCAACATCACCCTGGAAGGGCCTCCATCTTCAAGCCAGATTTTGTCCCAGATTGTGAAAGCGAATTTCAACAAACCAGAACATGATTCTGCCGTCTGGTTTGTTTTAACTGTGACAATTATCAGCCACAGCTTTCACTAGATTGTGCTCATCTCTTGTCATAAATAACTTAAAGGTTAATCTCCTAATAATGCCATCTTTCCCCCCAAACTCTCCAGAGTGCGCTCACCAGTGCTTCATTAGAAACTGTTTGTGTTGCATCTGGTTACCTCAGGAATACGTCAGAGAACGGGGACAAAGTGTATGGAAGTAATTTCTCAAGAGTTTGACTTCACACCCTGAGCAGAAAGTTTCCTGCCAAGCCCTTCATCCACAGCTCTGTGTGAGACCAAAGAAAATGGGCTCACCACCAAGAAACCAAAGCTGCTTTGTTGCTGCTTACTCATCTTGCCTTGCTTTCCCATTCCTCTTGCTTTTCAGTATGGGTGTAAACTAAATATCATATTTTGTTTTTATTATTGTTAAATTAGCACAAAATAATGTGGCCTTCAATGTGTTTTTATTTTTTTATCTGACCTTATAGTCTACCTGTCTGAAAGGTGAATTAATGAGCTTATGTTGATTTTT